CTGAGCTCTGCAGGATTCTCTCTTCTGCCTTTTTCTATCCTCTCCCCTGCTTTTTTTGTACAACACAGCATGATCAGCAGACCAGAAATGTCTTTTGAGGGCAGTGAGCTTTGGATGTGGAACATATTTCCCAAAAAGTTGTGTGCGGTGTCGCTGGTAACGCGTCCATCCTGAAACCGTAACAAACGTCTCGGCTCCATGTCCTCTGGATCTTTGAAATCCTGAATCTTCGTCGTCCAGCCCTGTGCAGCCAGGCTGTGGATTCAATAAAACCAGCTCGCCCTGAGGTGATTGCTGTGCTGCTGTTTCCACCGAAGAGAATTCGGGTGTGCAATCAGACCGGGGGGGTTAAAAACTAAAATAGGCAGGGGCTGCTGCCTTGGGTGAGGACATTTACCTCGGGATGGCCTCACAGTGGCTTGCCCAGCTGGGGCTGGGGGCCAGGAGGGAGGTGTGAGCAGGACTAAAACCGTACTCCTGTTAAATGTGGACAGATACCTAGGGCGTTCAATGCCAGACCCGAAAGGCGTTGTGTTTTCCACCACCCTTTCATTGAGTTAGCCATCCTGAGAGAGCTTACTGTCCCCTTGACAAGTTTTATATATTGCAAGCAATATTTTCGTTATTTGCTGTGTAGCAGGAGAGCGTGGGGATGGGTAGGGAAGCTGTATGAGGACTGCTGGGACACGTGGGATGGAGATGGAGCCGAGAGGAGCTGCTGGTAGCAGGTCTGTGCTGCTCAGAGCCTGGCTTTCCTTCCCCTTACGGTGCCTGCTGCCAGCCAGGTCCCTGTTTCACTCCAATTTCCAGCTTCCACGACACCCTGTGCCCTCCTGGCTCTTGGTGGCTCGTTGGGTGGATGAACGTCCCTTCCATCCTCCAGCAGCTCTGTTGCACTCAGGCTTCCTCTGTGGTGGTTTCCTTTCCTGGTCACTTTCCTCCGTGAGTTTTAAGCAGTCACCAAAGGAGGGGGCGGCGTCTGCTGCTTTTTCTCCTCCATCCTTCCGTGCACGTTCCCAAATTTCTTATTACAGAGGATGAAACCTGTGGAAAGCGTCAGGACTAGAAGCTGTTGTGTGTAGGGGCTGTGGGATCACACCAGCACCTTGGAGCAGGTTTTATTCTTTGCTGCTCAGACACTGCAGCAGTGGGAGACAGCACCGACCCGCCGGGATCTTCAGCTGGGAAGTCATCAAATCCCCTACAAACCAGTAAGGGAGCCCGTGCGAAACGCCTGGTGAGCTGCGTGCTGCCGTACGGGAGATCAAACAACCCCTGACTTCATGTAGGATGTGTCCAGGCTTAAAGCTGCTGTTCCCTTCTGCGTTTCGGCTCGTTCCCCAGCTTCTGGTCTTGATCTGTGCAGAGCAAGGAGGAGTTTGTTCGTAATTATCTCGTGTGACAGTGCTGGAGTCAAACGCGGCCATAGCACAACCCAGCGCCGCTGTTTGGAGGTGGATTTGCCTTCCCCCTAATTTCTCCTGAAGTTAAATGCCAGTGCTCCTTCTGGTGGATAAAACATTAATTTTTGGGGGTGGACGCTGGTGGCCGGAGCCTGTGCGGAGGTGTTTTTGTCCCCTGTGATGCCACAAGCAAACTTGAGCAGCTGATCAGTGAGCTTAAGCTCTGCTTTTCATCGTGCAGGTAGTGCTGAGGGATTTGTGGCACTCCCGAGCACTTCCAGGACGGGTTTTGTTCTGACACAGAGCCAGGGCCGGCTGCGTCCCCACAGCAATCTCCTGTTATTTGTCCGTAACAGCTTCAGAAGCAATTGCTGCTTGTTTACCTGCCACGAGACGTGGCACTGGCTAGTCCCAGCCATCAAAATAAATTGCTCCGGTGCTGGTCTGCAGTCAGGAGGTGGCTCTGGAGAGGAAAAGGGGCCACACGCCTCCTGTTTGCTTTGTGGAGCTGAGGGTTAGATCCAAGGTGCTGAGACGTGACTTACCCCAGGTAATTACCCCAGGTCAAATTGCTGGCTGGGGCCAGGAGCCAGGTTCCTGCCACGGGTGCTGCTGCAAGTTACAAAAAGAAAAAAATATTGTTCAGGGAATGATGAGTTTATTTGTTGCTCTAAGAAATTACCCAACTGATTGGCAGCGTTAAGCTGCCGAGGCTTCATGTGCTGATGCTCTTCCCTTCCTCCCAGTCTCAGCAGTTTCGGGTGAAAATGATGGTTGCACAGCTGCTTGTTGGAGGTGAGGTGACAGCTGGGAGTGAGAACAGGGTTGGGTTGGTGCTCGTTCCAAAGCCCAAATCCCAAATGACCCGCAGCACCCCTGCTGTACGTCTGTGCCTGGGGAGCAGCAGAGGTGGCCTTGGCTGAGTGGTGGCTCTGCAACCGAGCTCGGGGGTGAGCAGCAGAGGGAATACGTGGGTTATAATATAGAATATATAGAGCTGTAATAATATATAATAACCCTTCTGCCTGCAACCTGCTCCTTTCAGCAGCTGGTGTGTTAACTGTGGGACTGCCGGCATCCCTTTTCGCCTGGGTGCAATGTGTGCGCAGTGAGGGGGGTCTTTGGTTTGCCTTGCTGAACCTAGGAAAACATGAATTAAAATAAATAAAGAAAAGGTGAAGGGGTAACGCTGTCATCAGCCCTGTGTTTGAGGTCTTTGGGGGCTGTTGAGCCCAGCCTGGTGTGCGGGAGCCCAGGACCGGCTGAGTGCGGCGCTGGGGATCTGCTGGGTCTCGTTCCCGGGGCTATTCCCAAGGCACGTGGCGAGAACATAAAACTCCAGTGATGTTAACACCGACGTGCACGGAGGTAAATATAGCAACCGAGCTCCAAGTGCCTATTTTAAAAGTGCTTATAGAGCTCCCTGGCTGCCGAGCGAGGGGGCTCACCTCCAGCTGACGATCGCGCACCCGGGTGTAACAGAGGAGAAAGGCTGCGTTCATCGACAGCCCTTCTGCTTTCCTCTCGCTGGGCTTCTTCTGGGGTTCAACAGTCTTTTGTGTGCTGACAGGCCGGCTACGGGTCGTGGTTGGTGCTGGCATCCTGCCTATGTGGCTGGCTTATCCTAGCATCGAGGCAGGTGGGTCGGGCACGTGGGGCCGAAAGTGGTTGTGCTGCCTCTGGAGCTGGGGGCATTGGGAAAAGGGAAAATGCAGCTGCTGCAGAGAAAGTTTTGAGCCTTTTGGAAGAAATACTGTGCTTATATCCTTCTGGTGCAAGCGACTGGGAAGGCTTCATTTACAACTTCTCAGATTTACCATGATATTTGTGTAAGATCAGCTTGTGGGTTTGGGTTCTTCAGGTACCGTGCAATACAGAACACAGAAGCACGTCTCTCACATAGGTTATGCACAGATTTATTCCAGCATGTGGTGGTCAAATGGCCCTAATACACCTTGAAATGAAACTCATTGTACGCTTTGGGTTTTGCAGTAAGAGAACTCCTTAGGTAACCACCCCAAATGTTGTCCTTGCAGGTGCTTACCGGAGTGTGAGCCTCGCCGCCTGGTTCAGGATGTGACGAGGCCATCTGCGCGGTGCTTGGACGAATAATTTTAGCAAGCCTTATAAAAATTGATGTCTATCTATACCCTGGTGGGATGTGGGAGGCGATGAAAACACTTCCCCGATCTGGAAATGGGCTGTGGGGGGCTTCAGGTTTCCCACCCCGCTGGAGCCCTGACTCCAGCAGTCGGTCTAAAAGCCTCGCTGGCTGCCTCCCTTCCTCCCCGACCGAAACACGCGCTCAGGAAGGCAATAAATACGCAGGTGCTTTGGTTCGATTCCGGATCCTGTCCTCAGATTATAGATTTACGTCTGATTTAGTAATGCAGGCTGCGAGCCAGGGCGTGGGCTGGGCTGAAATGCTGACGAAGCATGGTGGATTTTGGGCTGGGGATCAAGGAGAAGTGGTGCGTACAGCGACCGCAGCGAGATGAAGTCAAAGGAAGGCACGAAAGGCTCTGTCCCTGACACTCAGCTCCCGTGGTGCTTCCCAAAACGCCCCGGATGTAATTAGTGTGTTTGCATCACGCTGAGCTCTGCAAATGTGCTCGTGAGCAGCGCCCCTCAGCCTCGTGGCCTCCCCATCGGCGTGGTTAGGATCTTAGCCCTTGTACTGCATTTTTGTGGTGCCTTAGGTGGGAATTGCATTTTGTAGCACCCAGCCTCTTAATAACGCTCAATGAAACAGCCCAGGAGTGGTGTTCAGATCCCTGAAGCAGCTCGGTGAAGGATTTCTGCTGGACGGACGTGGCTTGGTGAACTGGCATGAAATGCCCGCAGATCCATCGGGCGATGCCTCCCGTACCCGTAACGGGTCCTGGTGCCACAGCTCTGTGGGGACTGATGTAGGACAGGTGGTGATGGCCTGGCTGCCTCTCCTGGTGCCAGCACTAGCTCCTCGCACCATGTGCTCTGTCAGGAAGTGGAGTGTGAGCGGTGCTGTGAGCTCATCCGTGCTGTTTCTGATGTTTTTTGTTACCTGCACGGACCTGCAGGCTGATGAGTGCAGCAGGAGATTTTTTTGTAGGCAAGTGCTTGCTGCAATGGGTTTGATACCAGAACCCATTCCTGCTGGCTAGGTCTCACCATACAGCACCTTCCTTAAAACTCTCCAGGCCAAATGGGATTTCCACGGGTATTTAGGGAGCATCTTGGGTGAAAAACACACAGAAAAAGGCACAGAAGTGTGGTGTGGTGCGTTTCTCCGTGTGTCTCCTGTCTCCTCTACTGCAGAGATGGGCTGTGGGTGGGAGGTGCTGTGTGATGAGGAAGGAGGCACTGGGGCAGGATGGCTGTGACCCTTTTTGTATCCTCAGTCAGGGACGGATCACCTGGCTGCTGCGTTTCAGGTCTGCCAACGGGATTTTGCAAGTGCTCCAAGGGGTTTAGGTGTGTGGAAGTGCCTCAGCATCCTCTGCTGAAAGCCTCTCCAGCCCAGAGGGATGGGATGCCGTTTGTGTTTGTCATGTCATTTCTGACCTAGTGTCACCCGGGCTCACTAAATCCCAATTTTTCTTTTTTTTTCCCCCTCAGCTGAAGCTTGAAGATCGCTCTGTCGTCCCTCGAGATGTGGTCAGACACATGAGCTCCAGTGTAAGTGCTTTTTCCCTTGTCCCTTTTTGATCGTAACGCTGCTGCATGGATTTCTGAGGCTTGCCAAATTGCCTGAATGGAGCTGAGCGGTGAAGCTTTGAGTGTGTTCTATTTTTAGCCTGTTTAATAGACCTAGCAGCATCCTTTGAAAATGAAATGCTGATAAGGCTGCCTCGCTGCTGCTGCAGATCTGCAAAGGTCTCCTGAGCAGGCACGCCTGGGAATGTCAGGTAATGAGACAAGCAGCTCGCCTAAACCTGGCACCCTTTAAGTTTTAAATCAAGCCAGCGTGAGCTGTGGGGAACGTGCTCTCCCTGACCTGATGGGGAGGCTGGAGCAGAGGCAGGTCGCTCAGTCCCTGTGTACCTTTTGGTGTGCTGTGGCAGAAAGACAGGAGGAAATATTTTCCAGGAGACCTCTAATCTGCAGCGAGCACCATCTTGTCTGATTCCTCCCAGACGAAATGCAGCAAATCCCACCTCTGCTGGAGCAAGACACGCTGAAGTATCTGCTAGGGTGGCAGAAAGCAGGCTGGCTCTTAATCAGCAGCCTGTGATTGTTACCTTTACTACTCCTGGATGCTATTTTAAGTCCTAGTCATTTTGTTCTAGTTTTACAGCGTTTGTGCTCGTCGGAGACGCGTGGATGTGTTTTTTGTAGGGAACACTGGGAACACTGCTCCATATCGATTATCAAACGAGATGTGATCTCTTCGGGAGCTTAGCTGGGCTGGCAGTTCCTTGCTGCTGCTAACACCTAACCTGTAACCTCGAGCCATATGGCCTGCCATGTGTATGCTCGCATCTTCTCTTGACTTGCTTCCAGCAGCGTTAGCTACCGAGGCTGCGATGAAGCCGGCAGCTGGCCGCAGACTGCTGCAGTCACACCACATGGCGAGCAGCCTGGTGCAGGGATGGAGGAGTCCCTTCTCTGACCAGGCTGGGTGCTGCAAATAAAGCCCTTTTGTTTGTCAGTTAAAGGGAGAAAACCAGTAAGCCCATCCCTTTTGCATGGAGTGTTCTGAGGAGAAGAAAAGAGTGAAAAAAAAATTGTGAAGGGTAATTAGGAAAATGCTGAGACAAAGCATTTCCTTAAGAAATTGAATTCTTGTTTGAAATGGAAATTTGACTTCAAGATACCTTATTAAAACTGCAGCCTTATGAAAACGTTTTACTCCAAAACAAAGAACTGCTAGCAAATAGAAATATCAGCTCTTCACACTGCTGTCCCTGGCCCAGCTGGGCACCTGTGGTTACCCTTCTTGCTCAAAGAAGGATGTTTCGAGTCCTGCCTCTCAATTCTCTGTTCTCCAATGCTTGGTACTGTCCTGAAAGCTTAAAATGACTTTGAGTTTTCTTCTTGGCAAGATGTGGATGTGCTTCTTTTGTTTGTGATTTCCATAGATCATCTAAGCAGAAATTGGCTTCTCTAGCTTGCTGCAGGTGTATCGGTAGCTGCATTGGTGTGTCCCAGTAGGTGCACACTCCTTTCTTGTCTGTTTGCATGCTTAAAAATGGCATTTACCTGACTGTTTGTACTAGTGGCTGGTAACTTCATGTTTTATTGATGGAATGGTGAGTGCATAACTCAGTTTTTCTCCCCTCTATTCAAAATCACAGCAAATCCAAAGATGACTTACATTTCACCTTACCCTCAAGTGTATTTTAAATATCAGTGGTAAATGGAAAAAATAAACCTCTTTTATCCCAAAGAAAACCTTTACTTCTCAGATACATCACAAAAATTACCGAAGTCTTTAAAATAGAGAATTTGCAAGTGTCAGCCTGCCAGATTCAGGATGTGGGATGGCTGCCCTGCACCAGTTGGCCTGGCAAACGCACAATGTGGAACTTATTCTGTATTCACCACACTCTCCTCGGGCTTGTTCTTAACCTTGAGCGGGAAGGACTCGAAATCCTCCGTTCCTCAAGAGAAGGGAGCTGACTCAAATTCATGCGCTTCTCGTCTAGCGTTGAGTGTGAGGAAAGAATGCCTCAGGGTCTGAAGCGTAAAATGAGATCATTTCCCCTGAATGCGGTTGGGCCCCCACAGGTCTAATCCAGATGGATGAGGAACGGTGGCAGGCTTCATTTTTCCAGGTGATACGCTGGCTTGGGGAAAAGATTTAGAAGTGGGTCTGTAATCTGTCAGACACCTGAGTTTTGTTGCTTCAAAGGCTGCTGGGCGCTGCTGTCCTCCCTGAAGGAAGGGATAAGAGGGTGGCGTAATTAGAAGAGAGCATTGAGGGAAGGAGTGGAAGGACTGGAGGCACAAAATGGGGGATTTTGAGGCTTGTGCTTGCTGAGCTGCCACTCTCCCTGATGGGGTTACGAAATGAGTCGCTTTGCTGTCCGTACACTGCTTAAATACTGAGTATCTCCACCGTGGTGTGTGCTGTTACAGGTACCAGAAGCAGGAAGAAAGTCTGGGGAGCGAGCTTAATTTTGGGTGCAAATAGGGCTGGAATCTCATCTCTGCTTAGCAAGCCTGCAGTCCCCACAAAGAGCACTCACCTCCCCTTGCCGGTGCTGCTGCTGGGAGGATTGAGGGGGATTTTTTTTATACCGAAACTGAAACGTGGGCTTGTTTCAGATGCTCCTTTATCTAATAGGCAGGACGGGACGGTTGTGTTGGGGCAGGGCGGCTGGGAGCCGAGCCGAGCTGGCGACGTCTCGCCTGGGGACCGCAGTGCTGAGCGCTGCTGTAACCTCCCGGAGTGATTCAGCAGAACCACCCCGCTGCAGGGCGGCCCCTGGCGCAGGCTGATGCTTCGTGTGACAGCAAAGTAAATAAACTGAGAGCAGCAAAGGTTCGGTGGCAGGTGAGGGAGGCGAGCTGTGATTCAACAGTCCTGGAGCTTCTAAGGCTGCTCACAGCGCTCATCCCTGCTTTCTGAGCAGTCACGTACAGCGCTCTGTTCCTGCTCAAGCATTTTAGCCACTGGAAGGGGAAGCGAGCTGAACAGCCCCTGCCCATGACTAGGTGGCATCCCGCAGTAAATGGGAGCCGTGAGTGCGAGGCACTGGGATACTGGTGTGGTACTGGTTTCGTTGGTTTGGAGCTGATGGCAGGAGGGCTTTTGCCATGTAAACCTGGCGGTTTGTAAGTCGATATAGACAGGGTGAGGGACTCAAATCGCAGAGCAGCAGCTTCCTTTGTGCGTGGCCTGAAGGGAATTTGCACCCAGCGTGGGCTGGGGTAGGTGAGGGGCACAGGGCCTCCGTAATCCATCCTGAGCTGGAAGCACAGGGACATTGCAGCATGGAGGGAGAAACTGTGCTGCCTGCTCCTTAGCACCAAGTCCTGTAACCTCTCCACAGACACAGCCCCCTCAGAAGGCCCACTGGGGGCTGTGGCAGAGCAGACTGCTCCCTGCTGGCCTTGCCCAGGCGTTCCCTCAGCACCGTGAGGTCCCCGGGGCCGGCCGCAGGCACGGGCAGGCCTGTAGGGTGCTGTGGGGCACCTTTGGGTGCTCTCCAGGGAAAGGCAGGGTTTCGGCCCAGAGCTGAGATGATCCACAGAAAGCACAGGTGCTGGATTGTACCAGAGGTTCTCAGAGCTGCTGCTGAAGGAAAAAAAAATCCTGAAACGCTCAGTGTAGAACAAGGCGGGCGTTTTTTGAGGATTTTTGTTGCTGTTCTCTGGCTACAAAGCAATCTAAAACATAACTGAACCAAACCCTAAACTGCAAAGGACAGGCTGAGGATGGATTTGAGCCTATTTAAATAGCCTAACATGGAGGAAAGGGTGGGTAAGCGGTTGTGCTTTGGCTTTTAGAAGCCGTGAGCTTGAGCAGAGCAGGTGCTGTTTGTGAGCAGGCCTCGCTCCTCCTGCGGCTGGAGCCGTGCTGGCAGCAGCTGCGGTGAATCAGGAACAGCTCTGGCAAAGCCTGCTCGGGGCTCTCCGAAGGTGAGAGGTAACAGCAGGGCTCTGCTGGGCTCCTCCTGGCTCTGCTGGGCCCTTCTGGCTCAGCCGGGCTCCTCCTGGCAGGCCGCAAGCTGCGTTAGCCTTAGCCACATCCATCAGCACAGCTCCGTCTGGGACAGGCTTCCTTTGCTTCCCAGCCTTTGTAGAAAGAAATAGCAGAGATCTGGGGGGCAGCTGGGGGGGATGAACCCCTGCCTCGAGCCCAGCTCTCCTGGCACAGTTCCTCTCAGGCAGCACGCGGGGACGCTGCTGTCCCCGACACCTCCGCAGGTGCTGTGGGCACAGGGTGAGTGCGGTGCGAGGAGGGGGCTCGCAGCAGGCAGGTGGGAAGGCAGACGGACAAAAGGGCTGAGCAATCTGTCCAGGAATTGCCCTGGACTGCATCTGCGGGGTGTCTTCGCTCGAACTGCCAGGCCCCGCCATGAGATGAGCGCCAGCAAACTCGTGAGCTCCCCAGAGGAGGAGCTCAAAGAGGGCTCTGGGTGAAAGCCTTGAATAAATATTTGATACGGTCAAAAGAACAGCGTGCTTATAAGCGAACCGAGCAAACAAATCCACTTCTCACGGGGCGTAAGCCCTTCAAGTGTTATGCTCGAGTCCTGTTGGAGCAGTGACCTTGATGTTTGAGATAAGGACAGCTTCAGGAGCCTGCTGCTGTCGGATTGCCTCAGCCAGCTTTCATAGTGGACTCTGGTCTTTAATAAATCCAAGTATGGATTGTCCCAGCTGTCAGCAGGCCGGGGCAGCTGCCGTATTTGACAGTGTTTGGGTTAGCAGCCCTTCCTTGCAGGCCTCTGCCATATGTGTAAGCAACGTGCACACTGCGTGCTCCCTGCCAAGCAAGCCCCAGAAGGCTCTTGACAGCATGAGGTATTTTTCTTGGGGACAGAAAAAAAATAAATACAACTTCTTTAGCGAAGCGATGGAGATAATGACAGCCATCTCGTAATTGGACCAACTGCAAATTATCTGGCTTGAAACCTTGAAATCCGAAAGGTGCCAGGTTTTTTTTTTTTGCATGGCAGCAAGTGAAGGCCGTTTATAAAGTCCTGCAAAAACGAGCTTTGTATGAGATGTCACAGACTGCTTTGAAGAATTCTTGCGTTCTGGGGTTGATCTACACTGCCTTTGTTGGTTCAGGGCAGTATCTGCATGATGGTCCTAAGGAATTGCAAAGATCTGCTTGCTTGTGTAGACCAAACAGCCAGGCAGATTTGAAAGCAAATAAATGCTAATCACCTGACACAGTGTTGTCTTATTTAACCAGATACTGGAGTCTCTGCGCTGCTGCATTAGCAGCCATTGCAGATTTTAACTGGGAAGAAAATGCCACGGGTCTTCAAGAGTGATGTCAGCCTCGGAGTTGTTTTAAGATGACATGAAATGCCCCATTAGAGCGAGGCTCTGAGTGCTGAGAGGAGGGCACTCAGACTACTCCTGAGACTTGTTTCTGCACCTCCCGTGTGTATGTAGGGCCTTTTCTAGGTTATAACCCTTTTTTCTCTTTTGTGATTTCAGGACAGCCAGTGTGGGACTGTGATTGATGTCAACATAGAATGTGCTGTGAAGCTGGTAGGAACCAACTGCATCCTCTACCCTGTCAACAGCAAAGACCTGCAACATATCTGGGTGAGAATGCAGTCAAAATAAATGTTGGAGCCGGAGCTCTGTTGTTTAGAGGGGTGCTGCTGTATTCTAAGCAGTGCGTGCAAGGGAAGCAGCCATATTGTGCAAGATGCATCTGCAGCTTGGTTTTATTTTAGGCGTACTGAAAACATCCTCCCTGCAAGAAGATGCAGTAGCTCCTCTTCTCCCCATCTGCTCTGTGTTTCTGATCACATTGCTGAGATCAAATTGACTTGGAGGGCTAGGTTGTGATTAAATTGGGTGAGAGCTTCTGTGCTGAGATTGGTGCCTGATTGGGGCAGCCCCGTTGTACTGGCACAGTGCTTTCGAGCTGCGATGTCATTACTGGTTAAACAGGCTATAAAAATGCTAAGAGGAGTCAAGCTGAAACTGCAGTGTACTCGGTTCTCTCACTTGAGTGGGTGGGGGGATTTTCAGATGTTAAGTGGTATAGGTTTTTATCATTATGGTTCCTCTGAGAAAAAAAAAAAAAATGATTTGGGAGTGAACAGCAGGAGTATCAGAGCCCTTCTCAAGAAACGTCCTGTGGAAAGGCAGACGGGATACAGGCTTCTGTGCCTGGGATGGAATATTAGGCTTAGTGATTAAAATAAATAACAATTAGTTGTTAAAATTAGCTAATGGCAAGTGCAAGTATGCCCCTCCTTTGCAGAGTAGCTTTTGAACAGAATGGGACACTTGACATAGCAAGTTTAAGATCTGAGGAAAAATCCCACAGAGTCAGAGCTTTTTAGATAGAGAATCCAGGCTACGTTCTGACTGTCGAGCCACCTCCTCAGTGTATCTTAATTCTAGCTTACAGCGAGGTCTGCAGTTGCTGCCCTAATCCCCCTTTGGGATTGCTAACCAGGCCGTGTTGTGTGAGAATTTCCTTGATGGCTCAAAGTACAAGGGCTGATGTTTATAAGCTTTGTTTTCTGTTTTCTTCGTAGCCCTTCATGTACGGTGACTACATAGCCTATGACTGCTGGCTGGGCAAGGTCTATGATTTGAAGAACCAGGTCATCCTCAAGCTTTCCAATGGAGCCAGGTACTTCTTCCTGATGAATACTCTCCCCCTTAAGTTTTGTGATCCTGATCTATTTTAGGAGAACTAGGAGCAGGCTGGGCTTCCCCTTCGCATACTGTTAATTTATCTGCTTGCTATACCTTCAGATGCAGAGTAAATAACACATCTTCCTCTGCAATCATTGAGGTTCACTGATCACCCTCTGGAAAATGTGTTACCTGAAAGGTGTCATTTTTTTTCAGTGCCAGCAGATCAGTTCTCCAGAACTAAAATATGTTAATACTGCTGCTCTTCTGCCCTGGAAAAATGGCTGGTTAAGACAGATGATGTATGCCAAACCTTTTCTCAGTAGGAGAGCATACCTTCACTGAGATGCAGGGAGGGAAGCTTCTTACCTTTGAACATCTGCAAAAACATGGAAAATTGCAGGCTAGTGCTTTTTATTAAAGCTGAAAAAGCAGCTCAAATGGAACTTGAGCTGTTAAGGTCAGCATTGCTTTATCGTCACTGTTATTTGCAACAGCATTAGGAATGTTGTTTTTTAATGAAGATGTAATCGAAAGTCGTAACTCTAGAGGGAGATTTAACCAGGAACATTGGAACAAATATCTCATTACCTTAATTTATGGCTCTGCAAAGCTGGTAAAATGATTTGAATTCGGTTTCTTGTGCACGTCAGACAGTTACTTGTAAACTAAAACCTTCTGAACTCCTTAGGTTCACTGTTACTGAGGACTGTCTTGTCCAACAAACTTTGTTACTGATGCAAGGGCATCAGTGGGGGGCCAAGAGGCACATGGGTCAGGCAGCTGGGAAACAACCCATCTGTCTTGCAAACTGAACGTTGACAATTTTAAATATATGAATGAGTTTTAAAAAGCTTGCAGTCAGCTCTGAATCTTTCTCATAGAACAGTGCAAGAGCTATAACAGATTATTGATGGATGCTTCTGTGATTTATTTTTTTTTTATTTTTTAGCTTTTGGTTAATCCAGACTGGAAGGCTCTTAAAAACATGTTAAATTGGGAGTGAAAAATAGCTGCACTCCTCTCTCTGTACTGTCTGCAGTTACTGGTGGAATTAAAAACCTTGCTTGGTTTCTCTTACCAGCTCATGCGTAGCTGTGTCAAATGAGGTAACTGTTTGCAGAATCTCTTCCTAATGAATCATTTGAAATCCCACCAGAACTTGCTCTGGAAATGAAGCTATTACTGAAGCAAGCATACCCAAATTGCCTTTAGTTTCCAGTGTCAGTGTGAATAACAAACGGGACGTTTGCAGCAGACAAATCTTGCCCAGTGCCCTGCGTATTACTTAATTTATTTTTTTAACTTGCTGAATGGAGCCTTTTAATACCAGGCAATGTTTTTTATAGCTTGTCCATAGCCAGCTCTGCTCTGGACCATAAAGGCTCAGCAATATGCTGCTGGGCATATGGACGGAGTTACTCAGGCAGCAGCTGCTAATTTGGTGCTGTTTGCTTTTGAGGTGGATGGCTCTGGAAGTGTGACTGTGTCTCTTCTGTTTTCCAGGTGTTCTATGAGTACAGAAGATGGAGCCAAGCTGTATGACGTTTGTCCTCACGTCAGTGACTCGGTGAGCTGCTGGTTCTCCTGAGAGTCCTTCTGATCAGCTTTCTGCGTAGGAGGGAGGGCGAAGGCAAAACTGTAGTTGTTCATTAATGTCAAAAATTAAATGATGCATCACAGCTGAGAAACACTTAACTAGATCTTCTCTGGAAGTAAATGTAACAGGATGTAGCTTAAAGGTAATGGTAATGAGCAGGTTTTGAGGAGGCATTACAATTAGTACATCTCCAGCTGCATTCTTTGCAAACAACTTGCATAACGTGCAGTCAGATGGCTGGTGTCAAGGCAGCTCCCTGTCTGCTCATTATAGCTGTACGTGCTTGAAAAGGCTCCATTTAATACTTTCAAATTAAATGCTTTCTTCTGGAAGAGGGCGTCTCATTTAAAAGGTGTTCTAGATTGTGTAAAACACTGTTGCTGTTGTAGTCCCTCGCATGCCCTGAATGGAGGCCTGCCATCACACTGGCATGTTCTAAATCAGGTGATGGGGAAGGTTTTGCTAGCCTGTCAGCTGAAACGGGTGGTTCCCTTGTGTGGTGATGGAATCTAGATTTCCTCACCTTCAAAGGAAAACAAAGCTTGCTTGTCCTTCCAAATAGCATCTCCAGAGCCTCACTGCATTCCCAGCAGCTTTACTGGGAATTGACTGAGAGAATGGCATACAATTGTTAAAAGCTACCAACACAGTCGGCCCTTATCCTTCCCTGCCTTCAAAGCAAAGATCTAAAACTTAATTTCTGTTTGCCTGTTTCTTGAAGAGCAAGTGGAATGTTATTTTAATAGGATGTGCTGCTGTAGGTTTCTTGTCCTGTACAGAAAAGGTGTGGTCTGTTGATAGACATTCTCCAGTATTTTAGTCATCTGCTGTACAGCATGTTTTGTGCTTGTTAAATCTACGTTGTAGCAGCATCCAACTTTTAGGTACCTGATTTTGAGATCTTTTTTTGGAGTCAGGCTGCCTTTAAAGTGCACGTAGTTTTCTAGAGGCTTGCAGTTTCTCCTGAGACATGAGTTGTCTCCAGTGTTACTGGATGCTGTGCTCAGAATTGCTGTTGGAAACACGCCTGATTTAGATCTTGTCGCACTGCTCTTATCCTTTCTGACAAATTACAAGACTCCATACATTTTTGCACTCTGTATTCTCTCTACTCTAAACTGCTCTGTCCGCCCCCACATTCTGAATCTTTGCCTCTTCAAATCACTCTGAATATCAGCGGAAAGAGTTCTAGGGAAGTAATTGTTTTGTTTACAGTCCTGTTTTGTTTTCAAAGGGCTGTCACATTAACTAATCCACCTAAGACAGAAGGAATACTCAGAAACTTAATTTGACAAGCAGAGGAGTGACGGCAGGATCCCTCTGGCTGCCTGAAAGCTGCAGGTGCTTGAACTGGAGCGTGGCAAAGGCAGGGTGCCCCTCCGTAGGATCGGGCACACCTTGGCTGCCTTGTTACCGAGAACGTTTGTGTGAAATCCATCTCTCTTGTTTCTTGCAAGTACCTTTGCTTCTCCCACACTGAGTCATAATCCCGTATGAATGTGTGATAGAGTAGGTTGCTATAGAAACTGCTAGGTTGATTTCGGGAGGAGAATGAACTTTAAGAGATGGGCAACTTGCAAGCGAGACTTTCTCCTGTCTGATTAGTATCCCTGATCACGGATGAGGGAAGAGAAATGCTGGAATCTTAAAACTCAAGCCCTTTATGTTGTTTTTTCCTCTCTTTCCCCACAGGGTCTTTTCTTTGATGATTCATATGGCTTTTATCCCGGGCAAGTCCTCATCGGGCCTTCTAAAGTCTTTTCCAGTGTGCAGTGGCTCTCGGGTGTGAAGCCCGTTCTCAGCACAAAAAGCAAGTTCAGAGTGGTGGTGGAAGAGGTAAGGATTGACGAGCTGACACACGGCCTCTTTCTGCACAGAATGGGTCCCTGGCTGCTGTTTTGGAGCAGAGTCAGCTTGCCATGGTAACCTTCCCCAAGCAAACGCGCTGGGGCTCTGTTCTGCAGTGACAGATTTCTTGTTGGGGACTGACGGGACTTCTGAGCAGGGTTTGGCTTTTCCTCCCGAGGGTCCCTGCTGGCACCCCGTGAGATGATCCCGTGCCAAAACACTTGAAGGCCTGTATGGCTGATGGTTAGGGTAGTGGAAGCAGCTCTTCTGTTGAAACTTAATATTGCATGCTGCCCAAAAAGGGAGAAATGTTGCTGACTCCTTGCTGAAAGAGGGAGCAGCTCCAAGTCCATTAGCATGTCTCTGTGACATTGGGCTGCTGATTTGTATGTACTGTAGCTTCCTTCCAAAGTCAGATATCTTTCTTGAAGTTTAAAAACTGTAGGAGCTCTCAGTGTTGCCCTGAGCCACGTTATAGGAGTGCTGCAGTGGCTCTGGACGCACTGAAATGCACTTTAGCCAGCTTAAATAACAAAAGCAGGATTGCTGCTTTCTTGTGCTGAAACTTTTAGATCCTAGACACTGGTGTAAGAAGGCCTCTGAAAAACTAAATGTCTTTGTCTCTTTCCATTGCAGGTGCAGGTGGTAGAACTAAAAGTCACTTGGATCACTAAAAGCTTTTGTCCTGGAGGCACTGACAGTGTGAGCCCTCCCCCCTCTGTGATCAGCCAGGAGAACCTGTCCAGGTGAGGGCAGTTGAAAACCTCTTTTCTGCACAAACTGGGGGTGACAATGCCTGCAGCTGATCAGACACTAAGCTGCTGTTTGCAGTTCTTTTCTGCCTTGCTCTATGCCTGGATTCCAGAGGTTCAATGAAGGTGAAGGAATAGCTTCCAAGTGAGCTGAGCAGGCCCCAGAGTTATCACAAGGGCTGGCATCCCGCTGTTCTCTCCAAGTGCTTCCCAGCCAACAAGCGCATAGAGGAAAGTGATGTCTAGCACCTGCTCACTTCTTCCCCTGCCCTTCCATTTGTGCCTGAAGCAGGCTTCACCTTTTAAATGCGTGTGCAGCAGGCAATAAAGGGTCCTGCTCTGGCCACGAGCTGTTGCTGGAGGAGCATCTGGTGCCCTCTGCAGGCTGCAGCTGCAAAGATGAGCTGGACAAAATTCAGACAGGAAAAATCAGATGAGTAATAGCACAATGCAGCACGGTGCTGTCCGCAGCTCCCAGGGAGGCTGGAGGAGGGGAGCTCTCCGATGACAGCAAAAAAACAATGCCAACTATAAAGGTCTCTTGGCAGCTGTTGCTGGGACGGGGAACCAGAGGGAGAGGAGCGACTGGTGTCCCACCCAAACCCCTTCTATCCCCGCCCGGTCCCTAGTGAGATTCCCCACTCCTCCTTTATAATTGTGTGCCTGGGAAGGATTTGGTGCTGTTTTAGCTTCTGGCACCCCAGAAGAAGCATCAGTGACATGAGGGTATGGTCGCAGCTAGGTTCTGTTGCTGCTTTTACACTTGGCTCATGGCTCTCCTCCTGTCCTACCAGGGTAAAGCGTCTGGGGTGCTTTGACCATGCCCAAAGGCAGCTCGGGGAGAGATGCCTCTATGTGTTCCCGGACAAAGTGGAGCCTGCAAAAATTACCTGTGAATGCCCAGAGAGGAACTGCGTCCTGGGTGAAGGATCGGTTGCCAAAAAGGTGAGCTGAGGGCTGGAGGGAGGGAGCTGTGACTTCTCAAATCATTGCTGATCGCTGCGGCTTTTAAAGCAGAAATCTTCCTGGCAGTCACGCGGTCCGAAATGCTGCTCCTGGAGCAGTTGTTGTAAAGAGTAATGGCTTGTTGCTTGCCAGCAACCAAGTCACCTTGTGCAGCAATTCCACTGCCTGGGCGAGGCATGCAGCTAATGTCCCCAGGAGAACATGAACAGGACACTGAACACAGAGGTGTCACCTTGCAGGGGTGAGGCTGTGCTCTGCCCGCCCAGACTTGGGCGCGTGTAATTTTCGTTACCATGACCCCAGATTTCTCAGGGAGCTGAACTGTTGGGTTAAACCCTTGCTGCGGTGATACAAAGAAGCCTTCCTAGGCCAAATGAGTCAGGTTATGATTCCTGCACCCTGGCTGTAGAGCAGCGGTGTTCCTAGAATAACAGGATATCATCAGCCTTCACGGTGACCTCCCCGCACAGCTGCGTCTGTTACATAGATTAACTGCTGCAGCCTGTTGTGACCTTCCATCACAAAACATTCAGAGCTCGCTTAAAATAGCCTGAAAGAGCCAAACTGCCTTCCTACGGACAAGTCTGATGCTGGTATTTGCTCCTGAGCAGAGCGGTGCTGAGATGGCTGCAGCGTGCTGTCGCCAGCATGACTCGCTGGTTTGCAGAATACTCCGCTGTAGGGAAATGTGGGGAGGCCCGTGGGGTGCTGTATCCCTCTGTACAAAGTTACCTCTTCCTCGGTAGCCTGCTGAGTGTGCAAGCATGTTGTCTGACCCAGGTCTGCTTTCTGTAGGTGAGGAGGCTGCTGAAGAAGCAGATAGTGAAGATCATGTCGTGCTCCCCCGAGTCTCAGGGCACCGCTGAAGCCCCTGACAAGGAGTCTGCTCCAGCCGCTGACCAGAAAGCAGAAGATGTTAAGCCTGAATCCAAGTGTGAGCTGGACGACTCTTCCAACAGTGCATCCGAGTGCAGGGGAGAGAAAGGAGGAGCAGCCTGAAGAAACGGGGAAAGAGAAAGGGGGAGCAGCAGCACGGCAGCAGCAGCCTCCCTACCTGCTGAAGGACGAGGCAACATCTGACTACCGGCTTCAGTCCATGGAGCAAGATGCTGATGATGAGGCAGCCGACGACACCGATGACACGAGCTCTGTCACCTCTTCTGCCAGCTCTACCGCCTCGTCCCAGAGCTGGCAGTGGCACCGGCCGCAAGAAGAGCATCCCCCTTTCCATCAAGAACCTGAAGCGGAAGCACAAGAAGAAGAAGACCAAGATTTCAAGGGAGTTTAAGCCAGGAGACAGGTGAGTGGGGTTTCCAAACGCAGGTATATGTGCCAGAATCTCCTTTCTTGAAGCTCGCAGATGTTAAGCACCTCCTCAGCTGGGGTGGAGGCTGATGGCGTGCCTCGTGTTAGGACACTGCTCCGTAGTCCCCAGCAGTGATCGTTCTGTGATAACTGAGCAGTGACCTGTGTGAGATCAGCTTGGTCTCCGTCCAACTCGTGATGAAACTGGGGCCACGTGATTTGACACCGATGCTACTCTATTTCTGCTGTGCCTCGGGGCATCGCCGGGGTATCTGTGCTGCGCTGGGCTCTGTACGCAGAGGAGGAGGCGAATAAAGATCGCACAGCTCAAACGTGACACTAATTGGCCACCTCGCTGGCAGCTTCTGCAGAGGGACTGAGGACAGACCACGACAGCGTGGACAGCTGGGCTTCATGGAGAGCTGCCTGCAGAGCTCAGGGAGGTCTGTGCTGGCAGGGGTTCGTACTGCAGTGCTCTCTGCTTTATCCTTACCCTGCTCCGTAGAGGTATCTGCGACCTTTGCTACCAATATGCCTCTAATTATTTTTTTTTTAATGATCAAAACGCACTCCTTGAGAGCCTCAGAAGAATTGATTTCCATAGCTTGGCAGATTGCAGGTATCTGCCCGTTTCTAGAAATAACTACCAGCATTTTCTCCCGTTTTCTGAACTTGAGAATGTTTAAACTGTTTTCAGGGGAAGCACAGGCACCTGACAGCTGGCTAGCCTACCTTGCTGGCTTCCCTGGGCTACTTAATTGTATAAAAACTCTGCGTTACCTTATTTCTGATGCAGGTATGTGAGAATCCTCCCAGAAAATTGACATTACCAGGATTTAAGAGATCCAGTCATTTGAAAATGCCTTGAATTTCATTCTCATTTTATTTTAGCTTTGCCTGTATACAAGGAGAGCTCTTTTTTTACTCCTTGCAGGTTCTGGAGAAACTCTGTTTGAAGGTCACAAAGCTCAACAGAGCAGTATTTGTAGAATCATAGAATGGTTTGGGTTGGAAGGGACCTTGAAGTTCCTTTCATTCCAAACCCTCTGCCCATGGGCAGGACACCTCCCACCAGCCCAGGCTGCCCCAGCCCCATCCAGCCTGGCCTTGGGCACTGCCAGGGATGGGGCAGCCTGTGCCAGGGCCTCACCACCCTCCGAGTAAAGCTCTGTACAAGTGGTCTTCGCTGCTTGAATATTCCGAGGAAGGTGCTGAGGCCACCTTTTCCATTCCTTTAGTGACCTGCTGCAGCTCCCTGGCCAGCCTGCACTCCTCTGGGTATCTCTTAATGAGGAGGAACAATGATTTTTACTAGTGCCCAGGAGTGATGGATTGTGGAAAATGAGTTGTGAAGCAGCATAAACAGCTCTGCAGACAGGACTGTGCCGTGTCCCCTGGCCTTTTCCCTCTCCCATCCTCAGCTGTGCATCCCCTACAAGACAAGGGATCCTCCCTTGGCGTGTTACCCACCACACTTGACCTCCTACAGACTTCCCTCTCTGATAAGCTCTGCTGTTGGGTGCTGGCCCTGCCAGAAATTTCGGATTATTTCCACTTCAGAACATTTCACTGCTGACATTCATAAAAACGGGGGTGGGCGAAAACAGCCTATTGTATCCGCTTTATGGTTTGACTTGAACCCAACACAAATGCAGCACTTGTGTTGTCTGCAAGGCCTGGCCAGCCAAATAAAGGCTGTATTTAAGTTCAGCATGGGGCTGAAAAGACAAGTTGTGTGGAGCCAGGCAGAACGGAGCTGCAGGCTATCTGGACAGGCTTTTCTAAAGATCCTTCCACCACATTCATGTTTGCTATAGCACGGAATAAATTCCGACCGTCACGCTTCACAGAGGAGTACCAGCATGCAGTCTTGTTGCGTGCTTGGGGTTTGGTTTGGACCCGCAGACAAATTCATGGATACGTTTGAGCTACCAGGAAGGAGACTTTTAGCAAAAAGTCCTTTTGCTTTACGCATGTTCAATGTGTTGCCTCTTTTCCTTTCTGGACAGGCGGAGATGGAAGCTGCTCTCTTTTTCCTTTCCAGTCCTAGGCTCCTCCAAGCTGCCAGGCTGCTGGGAGGTGTTTCAGTGGAGAAGATGTTCAGTTTCAGAGTATTTCCAGCTACTGCCTTACCTCAACCAGCTGTAGAAAGTGGGTGCTAGTAGTCATGTTAATTTATTCCACTAGCAATAAAATAAGCTCAGCTCCCTGGAAAGTAAATCCTCGTGCAATACAGACTGGTATATGTTGTAACATCTGCAGTGTAACGTGCAGTGATTGAGAACCTGTCAAAACCAAGCCTGCTGTGTAGCTCTTTTCCCTGGGACCAAGCTTCCTTCCCAGCCTGGTGACTTATCCTTGTGGTGCTGTGAAATGCCGAGATCCATCTTGACTCCTGCTGTTGGCTTCTGGTGGGTTTCCTGCGTGTTCCTTCTGGTAACTCCTCGGCTTTGTGTTCCAGGGTTGCTGTGGAAGTGGTGACCACGATGACTTCGGCTGACGTGATGTGGCAGGATGGCACCGTGGAGACCAACATTCGCTCCAATGAGCTGATTCCCGTCCATCATCTGGACAACAATGAGTTCTGCCCTGGGGATTTTGTGGTGGACAAAAGAGGTATTGAGTGTCAAAGACACGCTCTCGGGGAGCAAACATGCTCTTAATTACAAAGTATTTCTCAATCCGGATCTTCTAATGTATGTTTTAGCCCTTTTTACAGTAGCTGTTAGTAGTACTCCTGTGAGGTAGGCACAAGAGCCTTACAGGGGACAGAGCGACTGGGGTGACTTTACCTGAGTGTCAGCAGAGAACCATTATTTAAACTCCAAGGCTGAACTGTGACAGGCAGGATGTGAAAGGAGTAAATGCCAAGGAAGAATGCAAAGAATCCCAAACCAGGGTTCTCAGTGTTTCTGTAGAGCAGGATGGCCTGCCTTCTCCCTGAGAGTGCAAATGGCTCTGAGCTCTGTCCCAGAATGAGGGGAGGGACAAAAACTCATCTCCTGCTGCGTCCTTTGAAGGACCTGCATGTCATGACCCTCTATTTTCCTTAGTGTTTTGGCAACCCAGAGGCATTTGCATTCACTAAACCGATTGGAGATGCTAGTGGGAGCCACAGCACAAGTTCAAGATGACTGGGAGATTTACCGCTTTAGGCTATGATATTGATGGCACGGCATCTGGCTCTTAGCTGGCTTCTGTAGTCGACCCTCAGCAGTGGGGAGCACAGGGTCTTCTCAGAGGCTGGGAAGATGAAAAGCTGGTTGTCAAAAAAAAAAAAAATTGTGTGCCCATTTTTAATTAGTAATAGTCTGGCCAGTCCCGTGGGTTAAACCAGTTTTGTGGAAACTGAAGATAGCCATCAGCTCCAGTCCTCCTGTCCCAGTTTGGGATCTGCATTCCCGTGTCATGCATACCCTCCAGCAGAGTCTGGGCTCCCTGCAGTTCTGCTAAGCGTGCTGAGAGGTGGATCCTGTCAGCCACGTAAACCCGAAGGGTGTCTGGATACCAGCCCAGGCCCAGAGATGTGGTCCAGGCCCAGCTTTGTTCTGTAGGATACACGGTGCAGGCATATGCACATGTATGCCTTCGTCCTGCCTGCTTTTCATGTTTGTTGTCCTGTGCGTTTTTCCAGAGGAGCAAAACTGTTGTGGGTGGCGCAGTTTCAGATGAGCTTGGCAGCCAGGGCTGCTTCCAGGGAGCTCTCGGCTGTCCTGTCCAGGAACGCAGACACTCTGTCATCGTGGAAGTGGCTTGGAGGGCAGAGTACGAAGGGGATGGCTTGCTTTCTTGTTTTCTCTTTATAATAGAGCTCAAAAGGGGTCCCGAAGTGAATATGTTCACCCTGGCCGATGCAACATCATCTCACTTTACCCTCATTCCGTGCCCTATTAAAATCTATCTCCTTAGCTGAGTGTAGTTTCAACTGTGTAGGAAGAATTGTTTTTCCTCATGCCATTCACAAAGGGAAGGTTTCAGCTAGAAGCTCGGGAGCTTGACAGCCTCAGGCACGTGTGAAGGCTGTGCTCCTTCCTTAACCTGTCTATTTTTTTCCCCTACCATTGTGACCAAAAGCTCAGAGCTCCCAGGACCCCGGCGTGTACGGCGTCGTGCAGTCTGGTGACCATATCGGCCGTACCTGCGTGGTGAAGTGGTTCAAGCTGAAATCCAGCGGGGACGACGTGGAGGTAAGTGCAGCAGCCAGTGCCTGCTGAGGGAAAGCAGCCACAAAACAGCACGAGGTTCACACTGGTAAACCTGGAAGTCAGCTCTGCGGTGGAGTCTGTCCTTGAGGATGGGAACAGTCATGTGCTTGTGGGCCTGGGAGGCTTCAGCCAGAAGTGGTGACGCTGCATATTGGTTAGATGCCTGCATAACAGCAAAGAACAAGCAAAGTGTTCTCATCCCACGATCGATACCAGGCTCTGGCATGGATGGAAATGTTTGTAGTCACAGGCAGTTGGTTTCTTGAGTTCACTGTAAGAATTTTTCCCTACTGTGTCTTTACTGGTTGATGGAGAATCCATGTGTTGTTATCCTGCTTTTTGGGGAGCTTATAGGAACACAGTTTCACAGACTATTGTGGGCAGCAGCCTAGTGGAAGATGTGTGGTTCAAGTCTCCCTTCTTAAATCTGCTGCAGGGCCTTCTGCCTTGGGACAGGGGCTGCGTCGTTGTAAGTGAGCAGGGCCCTGTGTGTCTAGAAACAGAACAGCATTGTCTGGGGCTGCGTTCTGCATTACTGCTCGTTATTTGTGAGTTCCTAGCACTTCTCCAAGAGAAATGGAATGAAAGATGTTTCCCATCAATCGATAAGCTCTTTGCCAGAACAAACCCCAGCAGTTCCTTCCTGCAGCCTGTTAGAGAGCTGAAAATGGACGAGATGTGATGAGGAGGACCCTAGGTGTTGGAGGCGTGCTGGGAGGGGCAGTGCAGCATCCTGGGGCTGACCTGGTTGCCTTCTGTCTCCGACGCAGCTGATCGGGGAGGAGGAGGACGTGAGTGTGTACGACATTGCTGACCACCCAGACTTTCGCTTCCGCACTACTGACATCGTGATTCGCATCGGCAACTCGGACGGAGCCACAGCTAAGGAAGATGAGGTGGGTTCTCAGCACCGTTACATGGCCATGTTGTCACCAGGTGTTAGTCTGGGGACACCTGAAAGAGTCAGTGGGAGAGCTGTGGCTTTAGACCCCACATGGGCATCCTAAACTGCCTAGCTTGCTAGTTTTGTATTATATTATCCTCTGCTGTCATGAGTACCAGATCACATCTCCAGGTCTGGTGGAGATGTAACCCTGAAATCCTTTGACCATGGTGACAGAGTCTGTAACGCAGCCAGAACACGTGTTGAGACAAGAATCAACCGTTTGCCTGATGGTTTCTAATCAGGCTTAAGGATTGCTTAGGATTTGAGTAACCTCTAATATGACAATATTCTGTGGATTCCTGAGCCAAGAGTGAAGGTGCATTTGTCATGCAACCAATTTAATTTGGCCGCAGAAGATTGGGGTTCTGGTTTTCATCTGTTTTATCGCATACGTGTTAATTTTGATCGAGTCAATTGATCCCCTGGGAAGGAAGGGGAAGCAATTTATTCTGTAGAGAATAACAGTTGGACCTGATGATCTTAATGATGATCTTAGAAGCCTTTTCCAACCTAAGTGATTCCATGAATACGCTGTTTGCTAGGAAAGAGGTTTCCTTATTCTGCCTGGAAGATCTCCAGCTGTTGAGACATCATTCTCAAAAAGGGTTAAAAGGTGTGGGATGGCTCCTCTTGCGGTTCTGGTTTCAGCAGCGTGAAACATATCCATGCTTGCTCGGCTGACCCAGATAACCTTCCAGTGCCAGATGCCACTTAACATGCACCCTCTGTGCCAGCAGGTCTGCTCCTGCTCCCTGGGAAAGCCGCCGTGAGCCCCTCCTGCTGGGTGGCTCCTGCAACCCACTAGAGGGCAGCCTGCTCCAGGGCACTGTGGGGTCCCTTCCTGGCAGGTACCCCTGGTGCTGCCCCTGGGGAAGGCCACAGCTCTCAGCCTGGTGAAAATTCAGGAATTCTGCTGCCAGACCAGCCCTTTGGGGGCCCTCCACCATGGGGAGGGGTTTTCCACATCTCCATGGTAGTGTTATGGGGTTTTTCCTGGAAAACCCTACACGTAGGATTCTTCTCCCCCTCTCCATGGGACCCCAGGTCTCCTGTCCCTTCTGCTGCAGCCAGCTCTCTGGCTAAGCTGCAAGCATTTTATAGGAGGGTGCAGGTTTGGAGGTCTCCAGCGTGGGGCACAGCTCTTTCTCCAGAGCTTCCTGCTCTGCACTGAACAGCCTGGGGAAGAAGAGAGGCTGACAAACTGCTCTTGTGTCCACAGCCTTCGGTCGGACAGGTGGCTCGCGTGGATGTCAGCAGCAAGGTGGAAGTGGTGTGGGCTGATAACTCCAAGACTATCATTCTGCCTCAGGTGAGGTCCTGTTCCTAACGTGTGATCTCTAATTCTTAGCCGAGTGACAAGTTTTAAATGCCAGCTGCAAGGAGGTTCACTCTGTAAGGGAATCTTGCTCTATTTATTGCTGCCTTCCCATATGAAAGGGTGGCTTCACACCTCTATTAGCACACACAAATTGTTGCTTTTTTTTTTGGGGGAGGACTGAGCAGCTAATTGGTCACTGCTACTTCTCAATCTAGTGAGCCTTATGCTGCCAGGAAAGTACAGGCAGGCTGCTGGTTTCTTACGCACTGCATGCTCGCAGCTCTGACCACAGCCTTCCTGCAGCACCTGCAGCTTTGCAGACGGGGGTTGCAGAGCGAAGTGATCACCAGTTTTGACTTGAGCCCAGGTTAACCGTGTTGCCCAACTGCTGAAAAGCTATTGCTGCTTCTGTCTCGCTTGTGAAATGGCACTGTAGTGTTTTATTTGGTTTCAGAAGCTCCCCCAGAAGCTGGATGAGAGCCCCAAGTTGTGACCTTAGCTAACCTAGGAATCGGACCCGAATCTCCTCCCAAGGCAGGGAGGGGAAGGAGCTGAGTGCAAGCTTTAAAATAGAGAGAGAACCACGCTGCTAATCCACTTAACCCCATGCGGTTCTCTTCTGCATTGTTCTATTTTAAGGTTTTTGTTGGACTGTCTCGTAATCGTATTCACGACTACATACAGCTCTGTCCCGTGGCTCTCCTCCTTGTTGCTTCAAATTAGCGCAGACACCCCAAAGATGAGAGCAGCCCAGCTTCTGTAAGCTCCCATCTCCGTCAGCGTGGCAGCGAGCGCCCTTGCCTCTGCTGCAGAGATGCATCTGCTCGATCAAGATCTCTTTTTCAAGCAAGCAGCTCTGCATTAATTACAGCAGAATAGTCAATGCCCGCACTATGGCAGTGGGCTGGAGCGCCACAAAGCAGGCTGCTGTCTCCCTTCCCCCTGATGTCACATGCGCTCGGGTCGCAGGCACAATCGGAGGCCTGATGCGTGCCCTACAAAGGGCTGCTCTCACGCTGCGGAGCTCGGGCTCTGCCGCAGCTCCTGCTGTGTCACGCCAGGCCCTTCCATTCTGCTCGGCTGCGTAATTGCGGGAGCCGGGGAAATGTCAGCAGCGTGAATTATCAGCTGGGGAAGCGGTGATTTATCAATCCGTGTGCTCAGAGACGAGCTGGCTGGGCGCTTTTTCTCAGCTCTAAAAATAAGGATGGCGTAGCTGGCTAATTAACTTTTCCAGCTCAGGTTTGGATTAGCTTTGAGGGCGGTGGGTTTTGATGGCTCTTCCTGCCTGCAGTCACTCGCGTTGAACCCAGCTGACCCCTGCGAGCTGCCTGTCTCTGGGTGGCACGGGACTGGCAGAACAGCGCTTGTTCAGCTTGGGGCTCTGACAAAAGGACTGAGTGTCCACATGCTGTGGCCTCTAGGCTCACATCTTTAGCCTCTAGGCTCACATCGTGCAAGAAGGAGAGGATTCGGGGCCACCATTCAAGTGTCGGGAGCAAAGTTGTTCCTGCTCCCTTGCTTCCGTGAGGGAACTTGGAGCTGGAGCTGTCTGTAAGCCCCTGCAAGGGGGCCTCGTGAGGGATGCAGCATGTGCAAAAGCACTTTTACAAGAGAGGAGGGTAGACGGAGTGGGGATGGGCTCAGCTTTCAGCTGTGAAAGGGAGGAGAACATTTTATGTAAGGGCTTATTCAGCAGCTGTTTGGGCTTTATTGTCCCAGCTGAATTTTAAGCAGAAGTGACATACAATGGCTAAAGCAACACAGCAGAGCTCTGGTGGCAAGAAGTGTGTGCCACAGGAGAAGAAATCTGGTTTGTGAATGTTTTCCTGGCTCCAGCATTGTCTCTGTGGAAGGACAGCGTCGAGGCAGCCAAATGCAGGGTTCTGTGCCAGCAGGGTTTCTGGTAAAGAGGCAGGACTTGGAAACACGAGCTCCACACCTAATACCCGGTTCCTTCTGAACTAGCCATGTGTTCAGGTATTTGGGTAGCTCCCTGGCCCTAGCCTCCTCTCCTTGGTCGGCTGTATCCCAGCCACCGAGCTGGCTGCATCCTATCTCCTCCTGCCCTAGTTTTCCCCCCGTGCCCTACTTGGAGAAGTGGAGGATGGGGCAGTGCTGATTCACGGTCTGTGCGGGTTATCCATGAGCACACCACTGGGATCAAACACCATCCGCCCTGTATAGGTGGAAGTGGCTGCAACAGCCAGACAAATCCTGTCCACCCTTTCCATGGTGGGATGTGATTTTCCTGTGTTTAGAAACGATTCAGGCTCTGTGTGTGCTTCAGCCGAGGCGCTCGGGTGTCTCCTCTAACCGTGCTCTCCTTTTAGCACTTGTACAACATCGAGTCGGAAATCGAGGAGTCAGACTATGACTCTGTTGACGGCAGCACCAGTGGGGCTTCCTCGGAGTGGGAGGATGAAAGCGACAGCTGGGAGACAGACAACGGCCTCATGGAAGACGACCACCCCAAAATTGAGGAGTTAGAGCCCGAGGAGCCGGTGGTAGAGGAGGTGAAGAAAGTAGAGGAACAAGTCCAGGGAGCTGTGGCTATGGCGGTTGCAGATCTTGCTGCGGAGAAAGCTGGCAAGGACGGAGCCCCAAAGAGCTTCCGAGAACTGAAGGAAGCCATCAAGATCCTGGAGAGCCTGAAAAATATGACTGTGGAGCAGCTGCTGACTGGTTCTCCCACCTCCCCCACTGTGGAGCTGGAAAAACCCACTCGGGAGAAGAAGTTCTTGGACGATATTAAGAAGCTGCAGGAAAACCTGAAGAAGACCTTGGATAACGTGGCTATTGCAGAGGAGGAGAAGATGGAAGCCATGGTGGAGACGGAGAAGAAAGAAGAAAAAGCGGAGGCGCAGACACCGGTGAGGTCGGAGTGGCCCAGCGAGACACCGGTGCTCTGCCAGCAGAGCGGGGGCAAGCCTGGAGTCACCTTCACCAGTGCCAAGGGAGAAGTCTTCTCCGTGCTGGAGTATGCTCCAGGTGAGCGTGTCGGGGCAGGCTGCCGTGGGAGGCTCTGTCCTTTGTTGCTGTCCTGCAATGTTTATCTTTCTCCAAAACATTTGCTTCTAGGCCTCTTGGATTGGGTTTCCTCCGCGATCTTTCTCACAGCTTGTTAACTGGGGCGGAGGAATCGGGGCGACTCCAGTAGCCCAGTCTGTTCTGGGATGGGAACCTGGGGTTTTGGTGGCATTTCTAGGCATTGACACCACTTCCCAAGCCATAGAAATGGGCTTCCCTTTTTTTTTTTTCCCCATGTCAGAAACTGACTTTGGAGGGCTGTGGCGATCAGTCACCTCAAAGCTAGGGGTTTTGTGCGGGATTTTTCTGCAGGGGTGGATTGGTTTAGAGGCAGAGCAGGAACAGCTGGTGTTCTGCTGGCTGTCCTTGGTTGGGTGAGTGTCCTTGTTAATGTTAATCAGCCAAAACTAAAAATTAAAAAAGAGCATCTGGCCGTGCAGAACACTGGTGACAGCAGAGCCTGAGGTGTGCTCGGCAAGCCGGCCAGACCTGAGAAGGGGAGGTGGCCAACCTGTTCTGGAGGTATGTATAAATAAAAGCAGGGAGCTGCACTCAGGGTTTGCAGACAGGAGGTCATCGCTTTGATGCCTCGTTGTCCCAGCTGCATGACAGGGCCCTTTGTGAGACCAAAAGAACAGGAGGTGCAGGTTGTGGCTGCCGTACAGTGTGGGAAAACTCAAATAATCTCTAGCTGCCTCTTGGCTCTGCACCAACGCAAGTTAAACTGCCCCGGGCTGATGCAGGAGCTGGGTTATTTTTGAAAAGCTCTAGGGTTTCTTGTCTTCACTGGCAAGAGCTGGGGTTCTTCAACGAGATACTTCTGAAGCTTCTCTTGCTGCTGCTACCCCCCATTTCTTCTGCTACCCCCCATTTCTTCTGAATGACGGGTTTGATAAATGAATAGATTTGCCTTCAGAAGGAGCCTGTGGCAGTTTCCAGGCTTTAATCCCTCTCTCCTTGCCCCACAGACAGCCATGCCTTCAAGAAAATGGAGTTCCAGCCCCCAGAAGCCAAGAAGTTCTTTAGCACTGTGCGGAAAGAAATGGCTCTCCTGGCCACCTCCCTGCCAGACGGCATCATGGTTAAAACCTTCGAGGATCGAATGGCAAGTGTTTGCTCGGCGGTGCCTGCGTGGTGGAGCTGGGCTCAAAGTCCAGCTCGTGGTCTTTGGAATTCCCTGCTTTGCCCTAATCCCTTGCGTTAGAGGCGCAGGAATGTGTGCAGCCTGAGAAGTACGGCTGTAATTACTGCAAATAACTGCTTTTGCATTCCCTGAGTCGGGGTGGCAAACAACCCAGGCTTTCTCACGGCAGGAAACCTGCTGCGGGTGCTCTGCCCACGGGGGTGCCTGTCCCACAGAGCCAGAGAAGGGATGGTGCAACCAGTGGGGATTACTGGCCACCCTCTCAGGCCCAGCTGCAGTCCCAGAGGCGCAATAAGGCCCCGGTAGAAGTGCAGCTTGTGGGGGAAGGTGCCCCGAGATGTGGTGGCTGAGAACTCCTGCAATTCCCCGGTGAGGGCTGAGTTAATCTCTGTGCCAACGCCTCTGTGCCAAGCGGGCTTTGCGCAGCGCCGCGTGGCTCAATCCCCTCTCTCCGCAGGATCTCTTCTCAGCACTTATCAAAGGACCCACGCGCACGCCCTACGAGGACGGCCTCTTCCTCTTCGACATCCAGCTCCCCAACATCTACCCTGCCGTCCCGCCTCTCTTCCGCTACCTCTCGCAGTGCAGCGGGAGGCTCAACCCCAACCTCTACGACAACGGCAAAGTGTGCGTCAGCCTCCTGGGGACGTGGATCGGCAAGGTAGGGCTTGCTGCCACCCACCGCTTTCTGCCACCTTCTTCCAACTGCTGCAGGTAGCAGCGGCTGTTGTGCCAGCCCACTGTTGGAACAAACCACCCGGCCACGAGTCCTGGCTGACTGGTGGTGGTGGTGGTGCAGGTTTTAGGGCTGGGCTTCTTCTGGGGCTGTTTGGCCCTCGCCTGTCTTTGCTTAACGAGAAGCCTGTAGTCAGACCAGGCTTAGGTCCCCGTCCCTCACGCAGTGGATGAATTACATAGTAGGGCACCACAGCTGGAGACTTGGCTTAACCAGAGCCACCAAATGGTGTTTTTTGGGCAGGGGGATTGGTAGGGCAGCTGTGGGGGTTTGGAAGTGGTGTCTGGTGTGTGGGTTTGCAACATTCCAGGCAGAACTGGCCTGATAGGGGGTGGTGCTGGGCTGGCAAAAATACCAGAGATGAGCTGGCCCAGTAGGGACACTGGCACATCATGCCGAGTCAGACAAGCGTTGTTCCTGCTGGAAACCACACCATCTTCCTCCAGCAATTAGCACGGAGCAAACCAGTGGTGCCTCGGCCCTTTGATGTGTTTGTCTGTGTGTTTCAGGGGACGGAAAGGTGGACCAGTAAATCCAGCCTCCTTCAGGTACTCATCTCCATCCAAGGTAAGTGCTCCTGCGGAACCTGTGGGGCAGGAGGAGGCAGGGGGCAGGGGGGATGCGGGTGTAGGGGGGATGCACAGTTGGGATGTGCCACCCCAGCTGGGCTTCTGCTGCCTTTTGCTCTCACCTCGCTGGACAAAGCAGCGTCCTTATCTCTCCGGTTCAGCAGTCCAGGCAGGTGCGAGCTTTCCTCACGCCTTGAGTTTTGGCTGCGGCCCAGGTCTCTGAGACAATGCTTTCCCTTCTTCTGGCTGCAGCAGCTCACCACAGAGCTGTTCTGCTTGTTAGGCAGAGCTGACAGAGGTGAACCATTTTGTTCTCAGTCGGTTCCCAAAGCTAATTGAAGCTGCTGCTAAACCGGGCTTCGTTTGCAGGACTGTTTTTATCCCCACTGAGTCACCCACCCATCCTACTTTGGGCATATTTTTGCACATGATGCTGGTGTTTACACTCCTTCTAAAGCAGAATAATCAGGGGTGTGTCTAGAAAAGCCCCAGGGCTTCCTGTTACAGCGCTTTGCCCTATAATATCTAGTTTGAGAGCAGACAGACTAAATCAAATCTCCTCAAGGCCAACTTTCTATGCAGGGAGCCCAGGAATGTGACTTGAGAAACCTTTGACACAGAACAAGGGCTGCTGCCTCGGGTCCGCGGGCGGCTCCTGAAGTCTCGGTCTGTTTGTATCCTCCTGTGGGGGGACAGCACCACGAGCAAGGCCTGCTCTCATTTACAGAGCCGGGGATCCAAATTTAGAAGGCAAAATGCCGAATGTTTTACTGGAGCAACCTGGCGCTAGTGCAGGATCTCCTCTCTCCCTCCCGCTGCCTGGTCTTTGAGAGACTCATGGTCTCACCTGCACCGGCTCTCGTGCAGCCCGTGGCAGGGTGCCAGCAGCCTGGCCCTGGTGGTGCCACGCACATCGTTAGATGAGGCCAGAAGCGAGCAGAGAAAGCTCGGCGTGGGTGACTTCATGTGCTGCCTCAGCACTGCCCTGGTGGGACTGTACTGGACAGGACGGTCCGATCAAACAAAGCCTGTTGCCAAAAACTGGATTTCTTTCTCTTTAAGAGAAGGAAGAGAAAATGTTTGAAAAATGGGGTGTTTGCATTATGTTTTTTGGCAGTAGGTTTGCTAGGAGAGGGAAAGTTGCTGTGAAATCTTTCTCCTTCCACCCTCTTGACCTCCTGTGCTGTTGTGTGCCCTCTGCATTGCACCAGTGGAAACCTCTTTTTGCCAGCCAGCGCTCCTGAATGCTGCTCTTGGTGGTGTCTGGGGTCCTCACTGCCCTAGTAAACGGCCACAGAGCCATGCACACAACTGCTTCTTTTTGTCATGTTGGTCCACTGCGTCTTGCAGACTGATTTGTCCAGCCTGGCCTCTGCTGCCTGCCTGAAGCCAAAGCCCAGCTTCCCTGCAGCACATCTCCTGCAGTCCTTCCCTCTGCTGCCAGCTTTAATCCGCGTGGCTGCAGCTGAAGCTGGTTTGGCATCTCAGCGAGGTGCTCCTGCGACCCTCAAATGTGCCAGCAGAAATCAGGGCCCAGCAGCACCTGCTGCGGGCAGAGCTTCAGAGCGAAGTTCCTCCTTTAACCCGCTGCTCTCCCTTTCTTTCGGCAGGTCTTATCTTAGTGAACGAGCCCTATTACAATGAGGCAGGCTTTGACAGCGACCGGGGCCTTCAGGAGGGCTACGAGAACAGTCGTTGCTACAACGAGATGACCCTGATCCGCGTGGTGCAGTCCATGATGCAGCTGCTGCGCCGGCCGGTGGAAGTCTTCGAGCACGAAATCCGCGAGCATTTTCGCTGCAACGGCTGGCGCCTGGTGTCCCGCATCGAGTCCTGGCTGGAGACCAACGAGCTGGTGGAGAGGAGTCACGAACAGGCCAACGGGGCGGACGCTGCCTCCCTCCTCTCCGCCTGCGGCACCCTGGCCGAGAGCCCCGCAGACACGGCGGGGTCGCCGGGGGAGGACGGCAGCGCGGCGGAGCAGGGGGCAGCGGCCGAGCTTTCCGACTCGGCGCTCGACGGGAAGGAGGAGCTGGACGACTCGGAGTTCACGACCTCGACGCCCACCGCCGGTGATCTCCAACAGTACTCAGACTCGGAGAGCACGGGCCAAGCCAGGGGGTCAGACCTGGCCAGAGACCGAACGGACGAGGGGAAGGCTGCCCAGGACTCTGCCTCGCAGCCCAGCGTGAAACCAAAGAAAAGGAGAAAGAGCTACAGGAGTTTCCTTCCAGAGAAGAGCGGTTACCCCGATATCGGGTTCCCCCTCTTCCCTTTGTCCAAGGGGTTCATTAAGAGCATCCGTGGTGTCTTGCAGCAGTACCGGGCTGCCTTAGCAGGGGCCAATATCCCGGAGTGGACAGAGGACAAATAAACCATCAGGTTAGGGACAGGCAGGTGCAGGGGAGAAGGGAAAGCAGCAGAAAGGATAATTGGCAAACGCTGTTACCAGTAAACTGGCTTCTCCTTCCAGCTTTTCTTCCTCAGCTTGGTTTGTTCCAAAGAAGGTGGTAGGCCTGATTTGCTCCTTCGAGGAAAGGTTGTCTAAGCATGAATTTGCCCCCAGCCCTCCTTCCCTTCCCCCCTGTCCCATGTACGTGCTCCTCTTAACGAGTTTGACCCTGCAATGGTAAGATTTGAGCCCTGCACAGAAGCAGTCTTGCAGCCACGTTCCCTCTGCACTTTCATCTTGGGGCACCTTTCCACCCAGAGGCTCTTCCCACCCAGCGCTGCGCCCGGCGGTCCGTGCAGTTGGGGGTCAGGCCAGGAGAAGCGATCGCTGTAGTCTGGAAGCGGGGGGCGATGCCCTCCCACTCTCTCTCTCTATTTTTTTTTTCTCTCCGCATTACCATGGGTTTTCTGAAGCCGACCCAAGCTTGTATGTACTTAGACATTGGATTGTGTTTGCGTTGGAGTTGTCTACACCATACGGAGTTGCTCTAGTCTTAGTTGTTCACCAGTAGCTGCAAGGTTCTTCTGGAGGGAGTCAGGGCTTGAGAGGCAGAGCGGCGCCCGGCGCCAGCCCCCGGGGAGTGCCGCGGGGTCTCCATCTGCTCCCGGGGCTTCTGGTGGCTCTTCTGGAATCGGATCCAGCCACCCACAGTCTTTATTCTCCAGAGTAAGGCAGCCTTCCCCTTCCCTACCACGCATGCCTGTCTTCTAGAAGTAATGGGATCCGGGGTTCTGCCCTCGTTCCTTGCTTGGCTATCTGAATCTTTTGTTCCAGCCAGCTCGGCTGCCGTGCCCCGCTCCTCAGCCCCACGCGGGGAGGTGGCAGCGAGCGATCTCGGGGCCCGTTGCAGATCTTTGGCAGCTCGTCTGGCTGCTGAGCCTGGCACGACTGCTGCTTCTCCATCCCCGGGCTGCAGACGGGCGTTTGGGAGCTGTTTGAGGCAGGGTCACCCTGAGGGAAGGAGCTGGCGCGCTGCAGCAGCGGTTGGGGACGGTTCCTGCCCCGTTACTCACCCAGTAACGAGCACGGCAGGCGCTGGTGCGGGCTGTTATCAGCTCCTTCCCTGGCCAGCTGCTTCCTGCGATGGCCTGGATGTGGCTGGCAGCACCGTGGGTACAGCACGAACCCCTCATCCCCACCGCAGCGCTCCCTCGGAAGCTGCAGCAGCTCCTGAGCCGGTGACCTTCAGCACTTGGAGGCAGGGGAACAGAGAGAGAAATCCTTCCCTTACTCGAGCTCAGCGTGGCTGCGTCCCCTTCCCTCCACCCTGGCCAGGATCTGGCCTCGTTTAGAAACCCCGTAGAGCAGTCGGATCTCACGCAGCGCTTCCTGCTACTTGAAACCCTGGGCTCTGAACCCGCTGCCCCCATCGCAGGCCGGCTGCACCGAGCCCTCTCCGTGTCCCGGAGCTCCAGGAGGGAGCAGGGCTTGGCTGCAAGCACCGCTCTTGCAGGTGGGTCGCCTGCACCCTGCTGCAGTGCCAGCAGCTCTGGGGGGCTGCCAGGGGGTCTGCAGGGCCCAGGGAGCTGCTCGGAGCCCTGGGCAGGGCAGCCCGAAGAGCAGGCGTACCTCACCGCTGCTCACTGGTGCTGAGCGAATGAATCCCTTGGCGAGCGAGGAGGGGGATCTCCGAAACACAAGGGCCGACTGGGGCAGGAGGGTGAGGCTGTGTTTCAGGGCAGGGGAGGCAGCCAGGGAGGCTCATTCCACGATTAAACCTCTTGCTCACCAGGCAAAGTCACAGTTGGTGACCTGCAGGCACCGACTCCTCTCGCCCCCCGTTCCCCTCGCCGCGCTGCAGCCTGACCCCGCTCCATCCAGGGCCGGGAGGGAGCTCTGGTCCCTCTTGGTTGGAAACAGCAGGGCAAAGAGAGAGAGAGAAAACCCTTTAGGGCCAGACGGGGCTGGGGTGGAGAGGCAGAGGAGCTCTGCAGTTCCTTGCTTCACCCTCCCTTTGCTCCCTGCAGCTCATCTCATGGGGAAGCAGTGGGCAGGGCTCAGGGATGGCCAGAATTTGCACCCCGTGGCCCAAGAAGTCTCCTCGTTGTCCTCCGATCCTAACCAAGAGCTTTTGCACAGGTTCCTGGGGCTTCCCAGCGGGGAAGGTGCTCGCTGGCCTGCTGGAAGGGGAGGCTGCTGCCCCTCGCATCGCTCTCCGTAGCCGGTGTCCCACCCCGAGGCGTGCGCGGAGGTTTACAGATTTTCTAAGCTTTTGATAATGTGAAGCTCCTGGGTGACGAGGCTGGTGGTGAGCACACTGCAGCTATGTAATTTTTTTGTGTATGTATGTAATATTTAAGGGTAACAAAATTTAAGAGGCTAAAACCTTAAAGAAGAAAAAAAAAATTAAAAACACAAAAAAAGCCAAAGCATGATGCATATTGTTAGCCTTAAAACTGGCTACACGACTGTGTGATGTACAAATAAGAGCAGCCTGTAACTGTTTTAAGTGCTGGGGTTGGGGAAGAAGCATTACAAAATCAGTTTGTAGCCTTGATTCTGTACAGTATTTAAATGAAAAGAAGAAAAAAAAACCCACGACCTGACTATTGAGGCCATGCTTAGAGGTGTGTCGTTCACGTGCAGATGTGGATGCTTGGTTGCTTATGATATATGTATAAAGTGCTGTGTGACCATTACAACTTTTTTTACCTGCAGATTTTTTTTTTTTTTCGTTTGGCTAACCAAGGTGTAATAAAGGAGGGAAGATGACTTGCCATTAAATTTTGCCTCTGTGAGTAGCTCTGACTCTTGTCTCTCTTTTTTTTTCGCCTCCCCTCCCGCGTGCTGGGGCCGGAGGGGACCCCGCTGCCCGGGATCAGGGTGCCCGGAGTGCCCCCGTACCGTCACAAACACCCCCCCAGAGCCCTGCTCCGTGGTGTGCCTGTCTGGATTTTCATTCCCAGTGCTCTTGGGCTGCTCCTGGTGCAGCCAGAGCGAGATCTGGGGGCTCCAAGCCTTCGTGGCCCCCTCCTCAGCACCAAGGTAAGCGTGCGCCAGGCTGCAGCGCCCCTGCAGGGACACCCACGGGTGTTGGGGGTGGGCGCTGAGCCCTCACTGGTGGGAGAGGAGGTGGTGGGCAGCGATAGGGGTGGTGTGAGGCTCGTGGCTTTGCTGGCGTTGTGCAAAACCTCCAAAAATTTGGCTCTGAGGGGTGGGTGGCAGCTGCTGCCCCTTCCTTGGGGCAGGAGGAGCGAGGTTGGGCAGGGGGAGCCACGGGGGCTCCTCTGGGTGCTGGCTGGCAGCTTGTGGGAGAGCTTGGGTCAAGAAAGAAAGAAAATCAGGTTGTGTGTGCAGCACAACGTGGGGCCCGAGCCCCTGGGAGACCCCCCAGGCACCCCGCTGCCACCACCCAACCCTACGGGACACCCCGGGGAGCCCTTCAGCCCCCAGACCCCTCGCATCAGAGGCAGCTCAAAGCCCTCAGCACCTCCCCTGCCTGGGCAGAGGCTGGGGCTGGACACGGTGAGAGCCCAGCAAAGCCTCACCCCTTTTTTTTTATTTTTTTTTTTTTACATCTTTTTTTAATTATTTTTCCCCCACGGGGGCGGTGGCTGAACCCGGGACACCCCGGCCCCTCGGAGCAGGGCTGGGAACAATCGCGCCCTTCTCCCGGCGCTGCCAGCCCCCTGGCAGGGTTTGCTGCTGAATAACCGCCAGCAGCCCCTGCTGTTTACCCTCCTCCTTTGTACTCTGCGCTAAATGAGCTTTAATTACTGCACTTTTATACCAAAAAGGCTGAGTAATCCCTGCGCCAAGCCCCGGGAAGGGCCCCGAGCGAGGGCTGTCCGGGAAGGTGGAGACCAGAGCTCCCCGCAGGGCCCCGGCTGGGGCACAAAGCCAAAACCACCCCGCTCCCCCGAATGCCTCCCTTGCTCGTAGGCACCGAGCTGTTCCCAAAACATCCCAAAAACGTCCCTGTGTGGGGCTCAGCTCTCTGCGTTCAACAATCTCCTTGGGACATGGGGCACGGAGGCACCCCAAGAAGCCACAGCCACTGCCTGAGCGGCGCTCGGGGGCACTGAGCCTGACCCCAAGGTGCTGGGGAGTAAAGGGCCTCAGCCCCTTTTGGAACAGTTGTGTTCTCAGATTTAAATCCCAGGGCTTTTATTATTATTATTATTATTATTATTATTATTATTATTATTTGTTTGGTTGGTTTTTTTTTGCAAACGCTAGGTATTTATTGCATTTCTCACAAGAATAAACTCTGCTTCTACAGGAAGCTTTGGGTAGAAACATTCTTTTTTTTTTAAAAAAAAAAAAAGTTTTTCTTTTTCATGTTAGATATTGGTCCTGACCACCCTGGGTCAGGCTGGCTCCGTGGCAGGGACACGAGCGGTGCCACCGCCTGCGTCCGAGCCTGGGGGGGGGGGACAGGGCTGGGGCTGGGGACGGGGCTGTGCCGGCGCAGCCACCCCGGGGCCGGGGCCTGGCACCCCTCGTACCACTCGCACCGGGGCGAAACGAGGGCGCCTCGCCGGTGCCGAGTACCTGCCAGGGCTCGGGGCTTGTTTTTGGGTCCATCCCAAAGAGAGTAAAGCTAAGCGAGGTGCCCTTGGCCCCGGAGAGCTATTGCTAGAGGAGGAGGAAGAGGAGGTGGTTCCTGAGTGGGAGGAAGGCTCGGCCGTGCCCGCGGCTCGGCGCCGCGGCCGCTCAGGAGCCGCAGACCACTCGGCACAGGCGGCGGTGGAGCTGGCCCTGCACGGGCTCGCAGGCCAGCGCCTCGCCGTCCACCGTCATGACGCCGGCGCTGCCCCGCGGCTCCAGGCGGAAGGCGCGGACGGGGACGTGGTGCAGGTGGGGGCAGCCCAGGTCCAGGTGCGTGCCCCTGCCCATGGCCAGGAACACCTTCAGCAGCGCCACGCGGCTGATGCCCGCCCGCACGTAGAAGAGGTGGATGCAGCCGTCGTCCAGCCGCGCCGCCGGCGCCATCAGCAGGTTGGTGCCCAGGTGGGACTGGTAGATGGCGTAGACGCAGACGAATTCCTCCTCGGGGACCACCGCCCAGCTCGCCGGCACCGGTTCGCCCAGTGGCGCCAGCAGCGAGTCGGAGGGAAGAGCCCCCTGCTCCGTGCCCTCCTCCGGGGGGTCCCTGGGGGCCGGGGGGGCGCCGTGCTGGGGGTCCAGGGGCAGGTAGGAGAGGCGGCCCTGGTAGACGCGCAGCCGGGCCAGGCACTGCAGGGTGCCCAGCGTGAAGCGCGCATTGCCCAGCCGCCGGTACTTCTCGCTGTCGATGTCCACGTCGGCGATGAAGCCCCAGCCGAAGCCCAGGAAGGAGAAGAAACGCTTGCCCGAGGCCGTGCTCAGCGACACCAGGTCCATCTGCGCGTGCAGCCCCTTGCAGAGGATGAAGGTGCAGTTCGTCAGCAGCTTCTTCTTGGCCACGTGGTCGTTGCTGCGAGGGACGGAGAGGGTGAGTTTGGGGCTTGGGGGGCTCCTCCTGCCATCCCAGGCACCTACTCGTGGCCCCCTCGAGGCTGCTCCCTTTGTGCCGGGAGGCATCCCCCGGCTGGATGAAGCCATGAGGAAGGGCAGCATAAACCAGCTCCTGAATTTGGGGACCGATGTGGGGCTGCCCAGGACAACCCCGCTCCCACCCTGGGTGTTTCCTGGGGCGCACAGCCCTGCGCCTACAGCTGCTGCCATACGGCACAGCCAGCTGCTCCCCGGGGGCTCAGCTCAGCCCCTGGCTCGTTTGGGTGAAGTTCTGCCAAATTTAGAGCCTGGAGAAAGAGAGACAGGGCGTAGGGGGAGCTGGGAATGCAGGGGGTACAACCTGACGGTGTCAGGGACCAGCCTGCAGCAGGGGGGCACCCAGGAGGGCGTCCCCGTCCCCGTCCCCCGAGGCTCACCCTGCATAGTAGTTGATGGAGGCGGCCAGGGCGTTCCCGGAGCCCCCCGGCAGGATGCACAGCGGCGTCTTCAGCGCCTCCTCCCAGTCCGGCCGCTCCATCAGCCCGTTCACCACCTGCAGGGACGGAGGGAGGGAGCTCGTGGTACCCGGGGCTGTGCCAGGACCCCGCTGCCCCCGGCTGAGGGCAGGACAGAGGCTGTGCCTGCCCTGGGCTTTCTCCTTTTGCTGTTCCTTCTTCTCTACAGGTCTCAAAACTCCGCTCCCTGCCCCCGGCCCCCCTCTCCTCCCAGCTCCGTGCCCCATCCTGCCCCTCTCACCTCGTGGAGCAGCCCGTCCCCGGACATCACCACCAGCGTGTCCCACTGCGACAGGTCCTCCTCCCGCATCCTCTCCTGCGCGTGGTGGGGTCTCTCTGCGGGGGAAAGCAGCGAGAGCTGAGCTCCGGGCCCCGTGCCTGCCTCCGGTGGGTCCGTGGGTCGGAGGGGGTCGGGGAGAGGGGTCGGGGCGGGCGGGGGACTCACCGGTGATGAAGATGGAGGGCGCGATGTCGGCGTCGGCCAGCATGGGCTGCACCACCGCGTGGAAGTCATCGAGCGCGCGGCCCGCGCCGCTCTGCGGGTTCAGCAGCACCAGGGCACGGCAGGGCCGGGGCAGGACCCCGTAACTGGCACCTGGTGGGGGGAAAAAGGGGCTCAGAGCCGGGTCTGGGGGCTGCCCTGTGAGCTGGGGACCTCTGGGGTCCCCCCGGTCCCCCCCTCCATGGTCCTGTACAGTGAGCCAAGGATGGGGACGGGGGTGAGGGCTTGGGGGGGGCGAGGTCCTGATTCCCCACACCCCTCCCAGCTGGAGCAGGGGCCAGGACTGACAGCCGTGCCGACAGACGGACGCTCCTCTTCTCCCTGCTCCCCACCGGGCTCTGGTTTCGTGCGCGATGCCCCCAGCCGGGCTGTAATTACAGGCCTGGCAGGGACGGTCGCTGCTCCAGCCGTGTCCCCCTGCCCAAACCCAGTGGTCCCCGTGTCCCCTGGGGGCATTGAGCCCCGGCCACGCTGCAGCTGCACTCCTTGGGAGGAGCAGGGCAGAGCCTGGGGGGGCCACTCGGTGCCACGGAGCTCCAGGGCTCCTTGCAGGGACGAGGGGGACCTGGCACGGGCCATGAATGCCCCACAGCACCCCAGCTCCAGGGCTCCCCGGTGAGCTCGGGGCTCCCCAGCCTGGTGTCACCGGCACGGGGTCCTAAAAACTGAGCCCTCACCCCCAGGAAAGCCAGGAGTGGCAGCAGCAAGCCCGTGTGATTTTGGACAGGCACAGATCCCACGCGGGGAGCTCCTCTGAGTGCCCGGCACTCCTGCATTCCCCAAAAACCCCTCCCAGCTGCAGCATGACCCTAGATTCAGGTCCCCTACTCCCATCTCCAGCCCCAGGCCCCCGCAGCTGGCGGCGTGGGGGCCCTGCGGGACTGGCGCTGAGGTTTTGCCTGCTGACAAAGCACCGAGCTCTGCTCCGTCAGCGCCGTTGAGTCACGAAAGCCGCCGCCGCTTCCCAGCACTGCCCCGAGCCGGGAAGCCCCTTGGAGCTGGGAGCGGCCTGCAGAGCGCGGCGCTGAACCCGGGGCAAAGGGCGGCCGGCACATGGGGAATCGCCACCCGGCCCTCCCCTGGGCTGCACACGTGGGGCCGTTTCGTGTTTGTCCAAGCATCGCAGCACAGATAAAACCTCCTGCCGACCCGATCCACAGCAGGGGAGGCCACCGCCTGCGCCGCCTCCCCACTGGCACCCGGCCTCGCCGAGGTCACGGCCACACCGCGACCTCCCCGCTGGACAGCCCTGGGGGGCAGAGCGAGCTCCCCCCCTGGTTTTGGGGCCGTTTCCTTGGTTTTCTGC